TTATTTAGTATATCATACCTGTAAAAAATCAAGTTGATCGAATATCATAAAGTATGTGTTTGGAAAACTGTTTATTAAAAAATAATTTGTAGTCCCAATTTTGTAAACGCATACTTTCTGATATCCGATCAACTTGATTTTTTACAGGTATAATATACTGAATAAATCTAAAAATATGAACGATTCGGATTATCAAAACTGGGCCTCAAAGTGGACCTGAAAGCCCCTACAAGGAGAGAATGAAGGAGGGGCTCAAGGAGGAGATCTGGACTCCTCTTTTCATGCCACCTATCTCTTAGATTGATGAGGACTTTTACTTTGACTTTGCCAAGTGTCACTCTCTGACTAGTCCACTTGTCAACAGAAATTTTACCAAAAGTCGGTGCGAACAAATAATAATAAACTTCAAATTTAAATCAATGGAGTGACATTGACCCGTTTGGTGTAACTGTTAAAATAGATTATAAATTATAATTTAACAGATTATAGATTATGATTTTAATTAAAAATTGTTAATTTGTTTGGTGTAACTGTTGGATTATAGATTTAAGTTACTGAGTAGTGTTTGTTAAATAAGTTGTGGAGTAACTTTTTCAATTAACTTTTATTTTTTATTATTCACTACTTGTCTATATTTCTCATAAAAAGTAATAATAATATTCTATAGTCCATTTGAGTCTTTTTCTATTTTTAAAAAAATAAAAAATAAAAAAATCTAAGAGTATAACCGTAAATTAATATGTCCACAGCAGAAGCTGATAATCAGAAGCAAGAGGTGAGCAGTTTCTCAGAATCAGCTTTTTTGACTTAAATTGTTAGAATCAGAAGCTGTTTGAAAGAAATTTAACCAAATAGTACAAAATAACTTTTCAAAAGCCAAAAGCTATAAATTGGCTTAAAAAAACCCAAACACACACCCTCATTAACATACTGGCTCTGTCTATTCACTTACTAACATCCTATATTGTGTTACTAACCAAAAAAAAAAAAAAAAAAAAAAAAAAAAAGTAAATTATGAATACACCTCTTAAGATTTAATTAAAATACGAATCATCTCTTATAATTTTGAAATTACATTTCACCTTGAGATTTTTAATTTCATAATAAATTGTTCATTTTATTAATAAATTATCAAATCAGTTAACAATTTTTAATGATGTTAGAAATATATTTCAATTAATAATTTAAGTAATTTTATTATTGTATAAGAGAGTAATTATGAATTTTATTTTTTTAGTTAATCTTGTCAAATAAAAAATTCTAACAAAGAGATATTTATAATTTTTTAAATTATATAAGACAATTTATTGTTTAAGTAAATCTCAAAGAATATATTTATAATTTATGAAAAAAAAAAATACAATTGGGTTTCCTGTGAGAGTAATTGATTTGGTTGATATGATGATGCCATCAACCGTAGGGAATATTTATCACTGACAAATAATAATACCATCAAGAAGTTGGTACCATTATAATTATTTGACAAATTATCAATCAGTCTTAATAGTTATATTTAATTTTTATTAAGTCTTATTAAAAATAAATTTTAGTAAAATTATGGTTAAAAATAAATTTTTATGATGATTTTTTTTATGTCGTTAAAAATTGACAATTAATGATTTTTTTGTTATAGTTTTTATAAATTATTGATAAAACTTATAATTAGTGACTTTTTTCTGTGACGAATTTCACAAATTGTTGTTGAAAGTTGAAAATTAGTGACTTTTTTTTAACAATTTTTTAAACTCTAAACCTTATAATTAGTGATATTTTTTGTGACAATTTTCAAACTATTGTTAAAAATTAACAATTAGTAACATTTTTTAATATTGTTTGATAAAAAAAATTCCATTAATTATCGTAAAATCAATTAAACAATAAGTCCACCTATTAGGACCTACATATAAATCCCCCCTATATCATATCTCATCAATTTTTTTATTTTATATCATTCTCAATAAAGTGAAATTTTAATACAAATAGTAATGGGGTTTGCTTATTGACACATAATATCACTATTAATAATAAATTATGTATCAATAATCCTATTGTGCAGATGTGATAATTATTAGATTATGTTAAATTTAATAGTTACATATAAAAATGAGACATTATAAATACAAAATAGTGATAAAAACATTATATATATATATATATAGCATTACCTCACGACTTTCGTCTATTTTCTTTTTATTTTCTTCATTTTCCCCCCTCATTGGATTAAGATCCTTTATAATAAGTTTTGATGCAATAATTTTACAATGATAGTTTAAGGGTGTTTAATTTCAATCCCAAAAATTATTGTACAGAATAATTCCTTCTAATAAACGTAGTGTCCCCAGAATCAATCCGGAGCCGACACCTCACTGGGGGTCGACCCCCAGTGGGGGTATGAAGCTTTTTTCATATATATATATAGCATTACCTCACGACTTTCGTCTATTTTCTTTTTATTTTCTTCATTTTCCCCGTCATTGGATTAAGATCCTTTATAATAAGTTTTGATGCAATAATTTTACAATGATAGTTTAAGGGTGTTTAATTTCAATCCCAAAAATTATTGTACAGAATAATTCCTTCTAATAAACGTAGTGTCCCCACCTATAGATGAGATTAATAACTTGGATGCATGAATACGTACCATGTGTTATGTACAGACTCCAACTAATGACTTATGCTTTAAAAAAAATATAAAAATAAAAGAGAGAGAAAGTAAATTACATTAAGTTTTATTGAAGTTTTAAAAAATATAATAAATTTTATAAATTTGACGTAATTATATTGATTAATTTTTTTAAAGAGTAAAATAAGTACAATTGACGCAACAATAAATGCATAATCAAAAATAAATATATATTTTAATATAAAATAGATAATATTATCTCTAATTCATATAATAAACAATAGAAAATGTTTGGTGACCACAAATTCTATGGCTTAAATGGCCCGAAAATGCTAAAACGACGTCGTTTTGACATTTTCTGACCATTTGAACCACAAAATTTGTGACCACCAAACATTGCCCATAAACAATATAATTGACCACACGACGCATTCTATTTCTTTAGGTTTTCAACTAAGAAAACCAAATGTGTGGTGCGCTTGATATTTACCAAAGTTTTGTATATTGCATATCAATAGAATAAAGATATTTATTTTATATCAATAATTTTAAAATAATCATATCAACATCTCCTTGTATTTTAACCTCAACAACTACTGAGATAGATTTTAAAATTCAAATTGATGTAACAATTGTAAATCATTAATTTTAAAATTTATTCATAATCGGAGATGATCTAAATCATACTTGGCACTTACAAATAAAAATATTCAGGATAATGCTCAAATTTTAAGATATGTGAATCAAATTTATTCTCAAGAAAACTTACATGACATTAATTTAAATTTATACCATAAATTTTAATTTTGAATATTTTTTTTAATTACATACCGTAGGTAATTTATGTCTAAATAAATAATTTTTCCCTTGATTAAGAAGAGAAATTTGTGCATATCTTATATTAATTCCATATAATGTATGAGTTTCTTAGGCGTGGAGGCGATGACGTATGTATTCAACCACTCCAAAGCTTAGATTTGTCTTTTTTGTGGTAAAGTTTGATCCTTACAAAATTCTTAACGGTTATTAATTTTAAAAAAATTATGCATTTCTCTTAAATTTAAATTTAAGATAATTATTTAAGTTTGTGGGTTCATCATGGTGGGTGGTCTGTTTCAATGATTTAAATAATTTATTTTGTAAGACTATCCGTATATATTATTTTTATAAAAAAAAAATTAAATTGATATAAAAAAATCTAAATCAGCCAAACCATCTATTTATGTATAACTCTAACTCCCTTTCTTTAAGAGTTCAAGACTTCAAAGCCTACAAATCTTTACCCCCATTGAAAGGGCATGATGACTTTATCACATAATTGGGGAGTACGTACATTAACGTATGCATAGAAACTTATGGTGCATGCATATAAAATTATGAATGAGAGAGGAGAGAGTGAATTTTGTGTAATGAATAGCAATTATTGAAAATTGTGATTGAGTGGAGATGATTATCAATTATTGGTTTAATGATTTTAATTTTTTATTTTATAATAACTTTAAGTAAAATAAATATTTGAGAAAAATATAATACTGTTGTGGGGTTTTTTGAAAATTAAAATTGTGTAATACTGTTCTTTATATTAAGTGAGTTGTTTGTTTTATATAATAGTATAATTATTGTTTGCATAACAATTACTATGAGGGTATTTTGGTCCCAATACTACAAATATAATTTCGCTATTTCTTCTCTCTAGTCCTTCATTGGACTGGAGAAGTGCTGTTGGGTTTTGTGACTCACTTTTGGATCATGTTTCGATTATTTAAAACGTTCATATTTTAAGATTCGTTGAATATATCATTTTTATAAAAAAATCAAGTCAATCGAATAATAACAATCATATGTTTAGATCAGTTTTGTATGAAAAAAATAGACAGTAAGAAAATAAACGATTCATACAAATTAATTCAAACACATGATTTTTGTTATTTGATCGATTTGATTTTTTGCAAGAACAATATACTTGACGAATTCTAAAATATAAATAGTTTGAATTATCGAAATAGGATCCAAAAATAATCCACTAGGCAGAATTAAACTGTCCAGTCTGATTATAAATTGATACCGACCAATCCCATATAATTTATATGAAAGCTTTTAATTCAAAAACTCCTAATTTATACTATACTAGATCTTTATGTAACTTACATATTCATTAAAAAAATAGAAATCCCATCACTTTAATTAAAAATTACAAAATGCTACTATTATATTGTATATGAGATTTTATTTTTATATATATGTTTTTAAATTTTATAATGTGGTATTAACATTTTTAATGTAACTAAATGGCAATAATGTAATTCTAAAGATATTGAAGGGCATTTATTTAATGGAATGTTGTTATAATGTACAGGTGCTTCTCTTTCACAGAGGACTCTGTATCTCTCTCTCTCTCTCCAACCTCCAACTATTGGTTTGGAGTGTACTAAGGAAACGTGAGATTCTTCAATCAGAGTTGGGTATGTCAAGCCAACGATTGATTTGATATTTGAAAACTGCAATTTCTTACTTCAAAGCTATTTTCTAGTTGTTGTTTCAACACTCTGCTTTCCCCTGAATCTGTTTCCTCATGTGATTCAGAGACGCTTCTTGTGAAATCTTGTTCTCAATTCTGGACTTTCCTGGGAAAATCTTGAGCTCTTGAGTTCAAATTTCATGGAAGATATCAAGTTACTGGAAATGGGTCGGTGATAGATCTGTGGAAGGTGGGCTCTCTCTATCTCTCTCTCTCTCTCTCTGGGTGACTTGAATTAATGTTTACGTCTGTCTAAGAGCTTGAGTTTCAATTCAAGTAATTACATGATTATGAGCTTGTTGATTTGTTTTCTATTTGCAGTCTCTGTTTCTCTATAGGGTTTTAAGTGTTTGTGGAAAGTGAAATCAGACTAAGATGGTGGGGTTTAAAGATGTTGATCATATATATATATATAGATATATGTAAAATTGCTGTTGAAATTCTGAAGGGTTGATATAGTGGAATACCCATCTGCATTAAATGTTTTTCTTGTAATTTGTCTTGTAAGAATGCCAATATGACCGAGGATTACGCCGATTTAGTCCATTTGTCTGTGTGAATGTGTTGCTATGTTTTTTTAAGACCTGTTGACATGAAAGCCTTTGTCAAGTAGATTTGAATTGGAGTTGTGATTTGCAAGCTTTTTGTTCCAAAATTGCTGTATTAACAGATTTTTAGAAGGATTATCGATGTGTCATGTTAAGGAGGTATGCATATTTTTTAGGGTATTGAAATTGGAAAGAACATGGATTGAAGCTGATGCTTTTGCCATTTTTGAGGTTTTTTTATTTTTTATTTTTTACCTGCGTTTTCATTTGACTGATTGTTTTGTTAATCTTTCAAAAGGAAAGATCTTTAATTTCATAAGAAGTTAATTTAAAGTGACTGAGTTGAAAGAGAGTAAAAGATAGTTTAATGACGTAATACTGTGAGCACAATGCTTATATGAGAGGGAGGCTGTTTTTATTGACAACATGTATTTTCTGTGGACATATGGAAATCTAATTAAGAGCATAAACACAACAGTTTCTGATTGAAATTGACTCCTGAGGAGGGGAAACTAGATTTGCAATTTTAAGAGGGTTGTAATTCTTTGTTTTTCAATTGAAAATTGTAAGACAGAAACTTTTGGTTGAATATAAATATTTCTCTGCATTCCTATATAATTGCATTTATTTCGCTTCAATTTTCATTCTAATTATGCTTGCTTCATATTAGACACCCTTGAGGTAGTCAGTCATCTAAAAATTCAGGCTTACGGAATTGATGATTGTGTAACATTGGAATGCTCTTGTTGTCCAGCATTCATCTGCTGTTTATGAAGAAAAATCTTGATAAGACGTCAAATCTTGATATTGCTTTTCTGTAAATTTCAGGTATCAGTCCACCAAGAAAAAGAGGACCTGATAACTCACGTCGTTGACACAGGCTTCGCAACAACACAGAAGATCAGTTATGTCCAACACATTATACTATCAGCCAAAGCTAGAGGTCGAGGATTATTGTTACCCTCAGTTCCAAACATTTGACCAACAATCACGCTATAGCAACAGCAGCCACGGGAGTCACTTCTCCATTCACACTTCCGGTGAAAAGTACTGCACGCTGGACTCATTTCCAGCAACGGGTTGTTATGCTGTTTACAATTCTCCGTCAACTCTCAGTTTCTCACCCAATGGAAGTCCCATATCTCAGCAAGAGTGTCATTCATATGGGTCCTGTGTAACTGATGATTTTATTGAATTCAGACACAAGCTGCGTGAACTTGAAACTGTGATGCTGGGACCGGATTCTGATATACTTGACAGTTATGATAGTACTATCTTACAAGAAGGTGTAGCCTCACCGGAGATTGACAGCTGGAGACAAATGATGGAAGCAATTCCTAGACGGGACTTGAAACAGGTTCTCATTGCGTGTGCTAAATCAGTATCAGAAAGCGACTTGTTGAATGCACAACGGTTGATGGCTGAGTTACGTCAATTGGTGTCGGTTTCTGGCGAACCAATTCAACGTTTGGGAGCATACATGTTGGAAGGGCTAGTCGCAAGATTGTCCTCTTCAGGGAGTTTGATCTACCAAACTTTGAGATGCAAAGAACCAGCAAGCGCTGACCTCCTATCATATATGCACATTCTTTATGAGGTTTGCCCTTACTTCAAGTTCGGATACATGTCTGCAAACGGTGCCATTGCAGAGGCAATGAAGGATGAAAATAGGGTTCACATCATTGATTTCCAAATTGGTCAGGGCAGTCAATGGGTAACTCTGATCCAGGCTTTCGCAGCTCGGCCAGGTGGGCCTCCACACATCTGCATAACAGGAATCGATGATTCCACGTCAGCATATGCCCGTGGAGGAGGACTAAACATCGTGGGACAGAGGCTGTCTAGGCTTGCTGAGTCATTTAAGGTTCCATTTGAGTTCCACGGTGCAGCCATGTCTGGTTGTGAAGTCCAGCTTGAAAATCTTGGGATCCGACATGGGGAAGCTCTTGCTGTGAATTTCGCATTCATGCTACATCACATGCCAGATGAGAGTGTGAGTACTCAGAATCATAGGGATCGGCTTTTGAGGCTTGTTAAAAGCCTCTCTCCCAAAGTGGTGACACTAGTTGAGCAAGAATCGAACACAAACACTGCTGCGTTCGTCCCACGATTTCTAGAGGCGTTGGACTATTACACAGCCATGTTCGAATCAATTGATGTGACGCTACCAAGGAAACATAAAGAGCGGATCAATGTCGAGCAGCACTGTCTAGCAAGGGATGTTGTGAATGTGGTGGCGTGCGAGGGGATTGAGAGGGTGGAACGGCATGAGCTTCTTGGGAAGTGGAAATCACGGTTCACGATGGCTGGGTTTACTCCATACCCTTTAAGCTCTTTGGTCAATGCTACCATCAAAACACTGCTAGAGAACTACTGTGACAAATATAGACTTGAAGAGAGGGATGGAGCGTTGTATCTCGGTTGGATGAACAGAGATTTGGTAGCTTCTTGTGCGTGGAAGTAGAAAACTTGTAACTGTGCAATGATGTACCTTTTTTTTCTTGGGATTTGGGACAGTGAGCTGAGGTAGAACCTTTAACTTTTTTTTCTTTTTTTTTTAATTTTAGGTACTTGTAGTTCATATAAGAATAAGGTTCCCTCTGCTGTGTAATGTACCTTTCATCAATCAAATTAGCTGCTTTCATTGAGATTGTTTTGTTTTACTTTATATTAGCTGCTTTCATTGAGGTCATTTTCAACAGCTCCAATACTTGGGGGATTGTCTGGCTATTCTTGATCTTTGGATGAGCATTGATAAGCAATTTGGCTCAGGAATCTTGAACCTTTTTTCTGGTTGTGTTGGAATCTTCTTCGTTTTGCTGTAAATTTCATTAAATTGTATGTTTTCAAATACAATTGGACTGTCACATGTTTGTGATACTCTTAGGATGTGTTTGGATTTGTAGAGAAATTTGTGAAGCTAATTTTTTTTATTCCTTTCACAAATTCAAGATTTAAACACAACTTGAGAGTCGGGAAATCTTGAAAGCAAGTTAAGAACTTGTGCTTGACCCTGCTCTGCTAAAGAATTGCCAAGACTTTGCACCTATGCTCTGCTTGAGATTTGACTTTCCCTTGAGATGTTTGGGTAGTGGAATACATTTGATGAGAAAAATTCATACCTTCCATTGCAGAAGTACTGGCAAAAATTTGTTAGGCAAATTATCTAGTCATTTGAGTTTTACAAATTATCTAGTCATTTGAGTTTTAGGGACCAGTTTAGCTATTTTTTATCATATGGCAGCTAATTGATTGAAGAATGAAAGCGCTTCTCTCTCTCTCTCTCTCTCTCTCTCACACACACACACACACACACACACACACAGCTCGATTCTGATGTAAAACATGAGTACCCAAAAACTAAATCCCACGATCCATTGATACAGAATTGCTCCAGTGTGAGAAAACCAACTATTAGCAAGTGAAGAATGAAAGCTGATTTCTTGTCACAGAATCACCAAATGATGTAAGGAGTGAGTTTATTCATGAAGTGGGGATTAATTATTCTTTGCTTCTTGGACATCAAATAGTGTGATTCACTGATCTCAAGGTAGCTTTGTTTCTCTCTCTTTTTTTCTTTCCTCATTCTTAACATCTCATCCTCTCTTTACACAACATTTCAAACCATTACTCCGCACCACCACCTCCACCACAGTAACCTGGGCCCCCTCCACTGCAACCTAGCCTCCTCACACCACTGCAAGAGAAAGAGAGACAAGAGAGAGAAATAGATTTAGGATTTAGGTGGCAGCAGGAAGGGGAGGGGCTGAGTGGTGGTGGGGAGAGAAGGGGCTTGAGGGTGGCGGAGAAGAGGAGGGGAGGGGCTGAGGTGGCAACCATGGTGGTGGGCTGGTGGAGATGGTGGGGGAACGAGAATTACGATTTTAGAATTTTAAAGTTTGCGTACATTTGGATAATTTTAAATAGGGGTAAAATTATAATAAAAATGGCACATTACACTTATAGTCTCTATAGTTTGAGACTCGTATCATTTTGGTTCATGACTTTTTAATTGTGATATATTTGATCTTAAATTTTAAATCTTATTCTAAATAAAGACAATTAAAGATATCATTATTTAATTTCAAAGGTAAAATCGTTAATTTAATAAAATATAAACTAATTTGACAAAAATAAATGTCAAAAAAATATTTTTAATTTTTTAAAAATTATTTTTATCCACCAATGATAAAATTATGTAAAATTGATAAAAATTAATAAAAATTACATGATTAATTTTTTAAAATTAATTTTACATGATCATCATCCAAACACATAATAAAAATTAATTTGGTAAAAAAAAATAAATGTCTAAAAGATTTATCAATTTTACATAATTTTATTTTTAATAGGTAAAAATAATTTTTAAAAATTCAAAAATATTTGTTTGACATTTATTTTTGTCAAATTAATTTATATTTTATCAAATTGACAATTTTACCCTTAAAAAATCTACTGATATCTTCAATTGTCTTTATTTGGAACAAGATTTAAAATTCAGGATCAAATGTGACACAATTAAAAAGTCAAGAACCAAAGTAAAACAAACTCCAAACAATAGGGACTATTAGTGTAATTCACGCTGATAAAAAACTTTAAAAATGGGATGGTGTAAGGTGTTTCCGTGGTGTAAATAGAAGCACCTTCCATTCCTGGGAGAAAATAATCCCACATAAGATAAAATGACTTTAGAACGAGTAACTCATGGCCACAAAATGTGAAGTAAATGTAGAATGGTTTTATTCCAAGATAAAATAATTATATCCTGCCCCATCAAATGTGACCTAAGTGTTCTACAATACTGCTAGTCATACCTGAACAAGAATTAATCAATTTCATATTACACAACAATGTTTAAAAGCTCAAATGTCTGCTGATCATGCACCCATATTCTTCATTAACATAAAGATGATTATTCAAAAAAATGCAGCAACAAAAAACATCTTAAAGAGCCTCACACAAGTGCAACATATACATTTTATTCCTTAAATAATTTTTACACCCAATACAGGGTTATCATCAATTAGACGCATGGTTTCAAATCAGAGTTGCAGGGAAAACCATCCCCCATGAGAGAGAGAGAGAGAGCAATTCCTATGCACACCGACAGGCCTCCTGATCTGCGTTAATCAACAGCAGTGTTAAGAGCTTACACGTTATTGCAACAGAAACGAGAATCGAGTTTCAGCTCAGATAATTCCTCATCAGCTACTTGCAGCTCAGTTTGCACTAGTATGAACAACTTCACTAGTTTCCTCTGGTTTAGATCTCAACTCACCATTTGGGGCTGTAGTATTAGTATCAGATCCTGCTGTGTTAAGGGTAACAGTCCTAGTTGGGGGCATGTCATGGTCATGTTGTCCCCCATAAGTGGTAATAACCACTTTTGGATCATGGGATGCCCTCTCCACATGTTTCTTCACCGGGCAACCAGCATTTGAACACCTGTAGTAACTCCTACATCACAAGAGCACAAATAGAGTGAGCGTGTAACTGACATTCAAATTGTATAGTTACTGACTACCAGCTACAAGCAAGTAAGAACAATGAATTTTCCGCATATATAATAAACTGAAACACATTTGTTTGGAATCATTGAAAATTTATGTGACTGCACACATTCATATTTTCCTCATAAATTTCTCAAATTTCTTTCTAACCAAATTACCCAAAGCACCCTCGTTTTATCAGGCCAAACCATCTAACTAAGATCAATTACCAACAGATGAACACAAGAGGGTAAAACCCAATCCAACTTTGCCAATGGCATCAATACTTTTGAAATCCTTGTATTATAATTTAATTGCTAATTCATCATCTACATCAATGCTTTTAAACCTCATACATACCTTAGTTCACACACACAAAGATACACATAAAGTACTTACCTCCAAGAATGTACTAAATAATATAATGAATGACATCACAAGTTACGACGCTAAGAGACTTATCCAGTTTCTGATTTGCAAGCAACATTCTCTAGGACTTGTTTGGATGTGACTTGACCCAAGAATACAAGTTATATAGTTTATGGTCATGGTCCAGAACCAAACCACATATCTCTTGCCACCACACAGTGAATGAGAAAATGAAAAACTAATTCCCCATCAACCTTGCACATACAACAACAATTCACATGAATGTCTCCTCCTCAAATTATCAATGGTAAGAATCTTTTCGTGCTTTATCATCCAAGCCAAAAAAATCAACCTTTGTAGGAGACTTGGACCCACCCAAACTCCTCTCCATGGGAAGACTCGACTCCAATTCCCCAAAAATGCCTCATAAAAGGACTTAACCTTAAATATTCCTGACTTGGATCTCATCCATTTTAGCATGTCCTCTCCCTCTCCCAAAGAAGGAAAAACATACAAATGACTTAGGAGAAGACAACTTTTTCCATATGATACAATAAATATTGTACGATATGCATCATACAATTCTAACAACATTGACCCATGCTCTGATACTTGGCAGCCCATGGATTTACCTGTGCACAAAGCAATGGTCCCTAGATTATTTTATAAAACTATAAATTATAATGATAGATTCACAGGAATGAATTGACTTGGATAGAAGTATGGATTCTATGCAAAATGCTACAAACCAGAGGAGGAAAGATGAGTCAAAGACGAGAAAGAAATGTCATATCCAGTTTAATTCATAAAAAGAAATGTCATATCCAGTTTATAAGTCAAAGACGAGAAAGAAAGATGTTTCACAATAGTTCCATAAAAGATTTTGGTCTTTTAAATGATATAAATGTACAAGCATATATCAACTTACATGAGTGACACGACCTAGGAAGCACAAACACTCAAAAGTTACTAGGGACCAAAATTTTAAGCATATTATCACTTCTTAAATCTTTAAAGAGATAATCTGTACAAGTTACTGAAGGGAAAACATAAATTAACATTAAGCAGAAGATGCAACACAAGTACAGAAAAAAAAAAAAAAAAAAAAAAAAAAAAAAAAAAAAAAGGCCTTGTTTGTCATAACTTAAAAAAGCTAAAAAGTCAAAAAATCACTATCCTACTTAAGTCGCATCATCTTATTTAAGTCACATCACCTCTCTACTGCAACACTTCAAACCCAACTCATACCCAACCCATATTTCATAAAAAGTCAAAAAAATGCGCTTATTTAGATCATGCCAAACCACCTCTAAGAGTAAGTTTTCAGTTACTGTTTAACAGGACTGGAATAGAGTAAGGGTTGGTTTGGGATGTTCTAAAAAAATGTACTTTTTGACTTATTGGCTTATATGGGTTGGGTTTGGATTGGGTTTGATGTGATGTGTATGTGATTTAAATAAGATGATGTGACTTAAATAGGATAGTGACTTTTTGACTTTTTGTATTATTTAGTTTATGCCAAACTAACCCTACATATACCTTGGATTAGGATTGCCTTTTACTAGTTTCTGTCCATATTTGCGCCAGCGGTAACCGTCATTCACTATGTCAATCTCACTCGTAGTTTGAACAACTCTTGATTCACCATTTGGCTTCTCCACCAGAATCTCGTCAATGTTACCAATGTCTCTCTTCCTGTTGCAATGTTTTTTTTAATGGAAACTGACAAAGGGTTATCCCACAGAAGTACCAACAGAGAACAAAATTCAAAACGCTTGTGTTTCGACGTACTGTTTCTTTGTGTCTGGAACGCCACTATGATCAACCTCATCTCTCATTCTATTAGATTGTAAACTTGCACCTTCTGCAGCATCATCAGTTGGTGCAGTAGTAGGAAGCGGAGGTGTTTCCATTGGCTCAGCACAGTGAGATGTCAAAACATGTGCATCAGATGATTTATCTTCAAATAAGAAGTCACCAAAGAAGTCAATCAATTTATTGGTTGAGTTTCAAAGCCAGAAATCAGCAATGAAGTTTATTTCTTACCCTCCCCAATAGATAAAGAAGGCTCGTCTTGTCTCTTTGCTTGGATGGGCGGTACAAAGCTAACAGCTATCTGGGGACTAGGTTGAGGTTTAGGATGTTCATGCTTACCCAGATAAACAGTATCCGTAATCTGCCCATCTTGTGAGCGTTCTACTTGCCTTTTTGCTGTGCATTTAGAATGTGTACATCTGTAATAGCTCCGAATAAATTCATTTCCTTTGACAAGTTTTTGCCCATATTTCCTCCAGTTATATCCATCTTCTGATACTTTATCTGGTATTTTTGAGGGAGTCCTTCCTTCTTGATCGCGTTGCAACATATGAGACCCAGTCTTAAGGTTCTGTGTAAGCTGCAAACTAGTCGGCAACTTTTCAGGTTTTACAGAAAGAATGCTTCCTTCTTGATTAGATTGTGATGCATGGACCACAGTTTCAGATCTTTGTCTCTGCTGTAAATTATCTGATACTTTTTCAGGTATTACAGAGTGAGATGACCCTTCTTGATTGCCTTCAGATGTTTGATCCCCACTAGCACTATCAGGGTTTTGTCTCCCCTGTAAATTAGGCGACACCCTCAGAGAGCTCTGTCTCTGCTTCACATGTTCCAACACTTTGTCAGTTATCGTAGAGAGAGTGTTTCCTTCCTCTTTGCATTGTGATGCAGAAAACTCAGCATTAGAGCTCTCTGTCTTCTGCAATTCACTCGATTCTTTTTCAGGCAATACAGAAACAGTGCTTCCTTCTTGATTGAATTGGGACTCTTGGTATCCAGACTCTGGGCTCTTTCTCTGCTGTGATTTGTCAGAAGCCAATTCATCTTGAACTGCTTCCCCAAAAGTAACCATGTATTTAAGTAAAACTGGGGGCAGTTATGGATAGATTCACTTTTCACCCATTTAACTGGAGAAGAAGGTCCAAATGATTGATACTAGAATTGACCTCAAACTTGCAAAAGCGACTCACGCTGTGACTTGAGTTGATCAAATCTATACAGACGGAAAGTACAAAACATTAGCTAAGTACGAACAAGTTCAAAGCATGGAGGCACAAGGTTACTCAGAATGTTGAAGTAATTTAAGTGAGAAAAGCAAAAGATGCAAAAGCAAGACATCTCCACCAAAGAAGAAAAAGGAAAAGTGTAGTCTTTAGCATAAGAATAGAAACTTCCAGTTAATAATTCAAGAATCTATTAAACTAGGCTGCACAAAGAATCTGATTAATTGAAAAAGATGTGTTGGAAACAAACCAATAAATTTTTCATAACTCCTTTAAATCCAGGCATCAATAATTTCTCCTGTTCTAAACTCAAACCTTATACCCATTATCAATATTAGTGGATTACCAAATTTCCAATAAATTGAAAGCAATAAGCAAGCTTGCATTTGCAAATGAAGAAAAAGAGAGAGAAAAAAGGGGCAAAGAGTCCCAGGAATTATCTCGACCTAGAAGGATTAAAATTAAAATAAAATAAAATAAAATAAAATTGGGGTAAGTAAGGAATATCCAAAATTATACCTCTAAAATTCCTAACCATAAGCTTTGAAAATTAATTCCACAGTTTATTTGAGTACTCAAACACAAACACAATACAAAGTTAGCTCCTTTTCCATGGAAATTTACAGAGATGTCAACAAATGAAATGTCAATTGAGTGAAATTGAAGAAAACATCAAATTCCCATAAAGTAATACAATTAAATATCATCCAAAGCACATAAAATTAGGTCCGAAATTTTTTTCCAATCATAACCACTTCACATATAGTTGGAAACTTGCTTAAACTGAAAACCCTAGCAACTTTTTTTGACACCAATTGCATAACACAAATCACCTTTCTCCTCCGATCACCGGCGCCGGAAAGACAATCAGGACCGTCGATCACGCCGGAGCTGTGTCGAGAGAGAAGCTCCGTAGTTGATGTCGCTATCAGTGAGGTCGTCAAAAGCTCAGACCTTCGCACTCGAATCCATAATTGACTACACCACCAACTGTACCAAACAGTGTGTATATATATATATACGTATGTACAACAATGCTAGGAACGGGAGTCAGAAATTATTGAGAATTATTTTGGGGTTTAAATTTATTTTGAATTTTATATTATATAAATTTAATCTTTATCACATAATTCCCGGCCTAAGTGGTGGGAATTTGGATTTGGGATTTTTTTTTGATTTTTTCTATTAAAATATAAATTTTTTGCAAAATAAAAAAAAAAACACACCCAAACAAAATATCACATCTAACTCCATAATTATTTCACTTTTTATGGTGTTTGGGAATTTGGATTTGGGATTTTTTTTTGATTTTTTCTATTAAAATATAAATTTTTTGCAAAATAAAAAAAAAAACACACCCAAACAAAATATCACATCTAACTCCATAATTATTTCACTTTTTATCTCACAAACATCACATCTAACCACAAAAAAATCCAATTATCTTTCCAAACACAAAAAAAATTATCCAATAATATCTTACAACTAAAAAACCTACATAAAAACCCACTTCTTAAACACCCACTTAGATGGTTTAGAGATTCTTTGGGAAGACCTACAACTGAGCATATTATTTTTTATTATTTTAAAATATTAATTTTTTTTCAAAAATTAATGAATAAAATAATATAAATTTACTATTTTATTCTTTAAATTTAGGCCTAGTTTAGGAAGACTAAATAAGTGTACTTTTTGACTTTTTTTGTATTATGTGTAGAAAAAGTAGAGAGAAAATGTTGATTGATGTGATCCAAAAAAGATAAAAAAATGAAATAAGTGCACTTTTTTGACAGTAGCCAAACTTGGCCTTACTATTTTATTTTTTTTTAAATTCATTAATAATACAAAAAATATAATTATAATAATTGATATTCTTAAAAAAATAAAGAATAATTTTAAAAAATTAATATTTTTAAAATATAATAATTATACTATTAAAAAAATTATTAAGATTTTTAAGTGGAGGAGAGAATAATATAGTGAAGAATCTGATTTGTGGTGGGGGCCAGTAATGTGAGGCAGGGTTGGTAAGAGCCGTTGGAGGGATGTTGTTAAGGGTTAGGTGACCGTGCGATCATGTAACGTCCATTGGTTGCGAGGCATTTTTTTTTTTTTTTTTTTGGTTTTTTGGGTTTTCCCTTTTTTTTTTTTTTTTTTGTAATTTCTGTGTTGCTGTCACTTCTGACTAATTTAAAACCACGGATAATCTTGCCTTCTCATTAGCTTTGTATTTTACTATTATCATATCATAGAGCTTTGGGGTTTACCCCATGTTTCCTGTACTTCTTAGATGAACAGAGCTTTTGGAAGTTATGGAAACTTAGTATACTGTCGGGATATAGCAACAATAATTTAATATTACTCTTGTTAAATAATTATAATATATATATATATATATATATTGTGAATATTTATACTACGAAAAATTTAAGAATTTTTTCAGATTCCTAATATTATAATTTTTAGAGATAAAAGATATTCCAAACTTTTATATTAGCTGAGATTTTTTAAAAATACATGTCTTTTACATTTAAAATTGTTAAATTAAAATATCCTTCAATATTACATTTAGGCTTCAACATTATTCACTTTGCTTGGTTATCATTTTTCAAAAACACTTTTTAAAAAATTACACTTTCTTATTTTCCGTATTTTTTTGCTTTTACTGATTTTTTAAAATATTTTAAGCAATGTTTTTAATTTTTAGACATACCTAACATAAATATACCTAAAAAGTAAAAAAAATTGAAAAAAACCTTTTAAAAATTCACTAAATACCAAAAATACAAAAAAAAAATACGATAATTCAGTACATTTTTTGTATTTTTATATATTTATTAATTTTTAAAATATTTTTTCACAAATTTTTTACTTTTTGGACACATCTAAGTAAGGTGCATCTAAAAAAGTAAAAAAAATGTTTAAAATTTTAAAAATATTCACTAAAAACAAAAAAACGCAAAAATCAAAAAACTCAATTTTTAAAAAACTTAATAAAAAAAAACTCAAACCAAACACACTGTGTTTTTTACAAGTTGAAATTTTAAAATATTTAAAAATTTAATAACTTTTATTTTAGATGTCCATTTTTAATAAAAATTATATTTTTAGAATGCTTTCATCGACATCTATCGAATAAGATCTATGATGAATATAAAATTTCAAAAAAAAAAATGACACAATTTCACTGAGTTGACTATCTTCAGTCAGTAAAATTTCTCTGATTTTTATTAGAGAAATTTCATTGATTTATAGTAATGTAATTTCAGTGAAATTTGTTGATTTCAGTGAAGTTTTCTTGACTAAGGTCTCGTTTGGAAATAAACTATTTTAGTAACTTTTTGATTCTTTATGAAAAGATATGTAGAAAAATAGACAGAGTGATGTGACAACTTATAGTAACTTTTTGATTTTTTAGTTAAAATAGTTACTCTCTAAACGAGACCTAAGTCAGTGAAATTTCACTATCATTACAATAGGTTAGTGAAAATTCACTGCTTTAGTGAAAATTTCTTGATTAATGCCTCGTTTAGGGAGTAATTATTTTAGTGAAAAAGTCACTATAAGTTGTCACATCACTCCCTCTACTTTTCTGTACATTTTTTCGTAAAAAGTGAAAAAATTACTAAAATTGTTTGTTCCCAAATGAGGCCTAAGTGAAACAAACCCTAAATTTCACTAAGGATAAAGGGAGGAAGAAAGACATACTAAGGGATGAAGAAATAGTAAAAAGAAAGAAAGAGATAAGATACACATCAATGAAATTTCACTAATTTAGTTCAAGTAAAATTTGAGACAAATTTCTCTGTGAAGAAAAATACAAAAAAAAATTCAAAAATACAGAGACAAAATTCAAAAAAAAATTCTTCAGAAATAAATTTCTCTAGTATAAAACACAATTCAAAATTTCCATAAAGAGATGAGACACACATAGTGAAATTTCACTAACTTAGGTCCAAAGAAATTTGAGACAAAAGTTAGACAAATTTCTCTTAGACAAATTTTTTTGTGAAAAAAAAAATCAGAGAAATTTCAAAAATACACGAAGAAAACTCAAAAAAGATTTCTTTTCACGGATAAATTTCTTTGGTATGAAACACAATTCAAAATTCCCATAAAGAAATGAGACATACATCAGTGAAATATCACTGACTTAGGTCTAGTGAAATTTGAGACAAAATTTAGACAAATTTCTCTATGAAGAAAAATTTAGAGAAATTTCAAAAATACATAGAGAAAATTCAAAAAAAATTCTCTTCACAAATAAATTTGTCTAGTATGAAGTACAATTCAAAATTCCTATAAATTTCACAAGTACCGAAATGCACAACCCTAAGCTCAAAAAGTCAATAAAACCCACTTTCTCTCTCTCTATCATTTGATATACCATTCAAAATCTGGAACTCAAGAGCAATGAACTTCTTGAATAGCAATAAAACCCAAGAGCATAGAGAAATTTCAGCAGGTCTTCCCAATTCCTCTATATCCATGAGTTTGTTGTTGCTATGATCACCCATTCCTTACTTTTCAACAAATAAATCAAAGATTCACCCACATAGTAATAGACGAAGTAGACAAGACGGGTATGGCCGTGAAGGTGACGGAGGGGGTTTGGGACTTAGCGTCGGAGACATGGATGAGGCTAGAGTGAGAGCCAGTAGCAACAATGAAGCGAAGGAGGCGGAGGCGGCGGTGTCAGAGAATGAGAAGATTGTGGATTTGAGTTTTAGGGTTTGAGAAGAGAAGATTGTAAGGTGGTGGAAAGACCCAAATATGTAGAGAGAGAGAAGAAGAAACGAAGATAAATAGAAAGATGAGGCCAGAATAGGAACCAGTGGCGACAATAAAGCAGCCATCAACGCAGAATGAGGCGCAGGTGGCGATGTCAAAGAATGAAGAGATGGTAGATTTGGGTTCTAAAGTTTGGGAAGAGAAGACTGTGAGATAGTGAAGAGACCCAAATCTATAGAGAAAGAGAGAGAGAAGATAGATGAAAAGAGATAAGAGAAGAAAGAGAAAGTAGATCTGAAAAAGAAGAAATGAAAGACCTAAATCTGTATCATTGAAGGGTAAAGTTGGTATTTTTTTTGAATAAATAGAAGCAAAAGACGTGGAGGACCTTAACCAACAGAAAAAAATATTTTGTGGACCTCTGCTACTACTAAAAGTTGATAGAAGAGGGATGTTAGACTAACTTTCTTAAAAATTTATATATTAACAATGATCCTGTTGTTGTCATTAGTTTGGAAGTAAATAATTTTTGAAGTGATTACATCTTAGTGAATGTTAAAAAAAATAAAAATTCATAAAAATAAAAATAATTATAATTATTAATATTTATAAAAAAAATTTTAAAAAAATCACTGATTAACGTGATATTTTTCCATAATTTTTTTAAACCATAAACTCAAGACTATCACACAAAATAATAGACTCAAGACAAACACTCTTTAGAAACCAAAACTTTTAGTCAAAATATCAAAAATTCAATCTATCCTCTATTTACTTTTTTACATCTTTTCATAAATTTCATAAAACTAAAAAAAAAAAATCTCAAATTAGTCATAAATAATTCAAGTATTATTCCATATGTACTTATATTTGCAACCAAACAATTTTTTTCTCCCTTCTCTTTTAATCTTGAAATATAAGATGATTTTTTTTCTGAACATGAAATATAAGATGACTTTGAAATTGACTTTTTTGCTCTTTTCTTTTTGGTTAAAAAAATAAAAATAAAAAATAACTAAAGGGAGGAGATACATCTTGAGCAAAGATCCTCTAGAGTGATTTTTCCTTAAAGTTTCCTAGAGTGTTACATTGTGTGGTTGAGATTTACTGGCAAGTCACATCAATTTTTCTGATGTGACTTGCCAGTAAATCTGAACCATACAATATAGCACTCTAGAAAACTTTAGGAAAATTTCACTCTAGAGGATCCTTGGTGATACATCTTTAGCTACCACAGGTACTGACAGAGGATGTAGGCAGTTGGACTATTTG